CTAATTAGTACTAATTTGTAGGTTCTGGAACACAGCTTATGTTACTTTCAGGCGATGTTGTAGTATACCTGGAGATTTTCAGGAAAAACCGTTTAGCAGTCTATAAATTATAAGCAAACAATCAAACGTAGAAACATTTTCCTCTTTTATAGATATAGAAGAAGATTTCACATGATTGACAATTAAATTAGTTTCTTAATAATAGGTTTGCACGATAACCCAGTATTTTGGGTTTCTCAACAGTTTAAATGTACTATAACGCCATGCATTTTGCAAAACATCTGTGTTCTTGCTGAATTTTACTGAATGTTATATTTTGCAAAATTTGCACTCCAGAGAGATAATTGTCTTAATGCAGGTTACCGAGTAATTTTTACTGAAAAATGTATCCTAAATACCTAATACACATATATGAAGTTCAAAGATTGACATAACTCAAAAAACGAATTTTGATGGAAAAATATAAAGAGTTAAAACTCATAAAAGTCAAAACACCTTTATAGGGTTTCAGGGGCATCCATTCTTATTATATGTGCTTTCTACATAGTAAATGGCTATTATGAATTGTACTGGGCTTTTTTTTTTTAACAGAGATGAGTTACACTCTTACAAGGGCTTATACCTGACAAGGGCTTATAAACCAATGTATGTGTTTTCTTTTCAATAACAAAAAAAAAATTGTTCAGAAAACATTCAAATTCGGGTGTTTTCAAAATTTTTATTTCAACGTATGCATCGACAAAATCTAGAGTTTTTGTAGCGAAATAATCCTTTAGAGATATATAGAACCTGGTTTTGAAAAGAAGTGTTGACCTTTCATTCAGTTTTCGCGGTTTTTAATTATTTATTCAAAATAAATGCAACAAGTTGTTTGATTTTGTTATTGTTTTGATACTATTTCTGACATTACAAGCCAAACAGGTAGACCTCTATACTGCAATTTTTTCAAAGTTGACCTACCTTCTCTTCATTGTACCATGATTGTACCATGGTTTGCCAATAAAATCGAATCGAACCTTACTACACAAGTTTTTCAACAAACCCACATAGTGCTTCGCTTGGAGAAGAATTTCCCAAGTTTAAATTAGGCTTAGCTTAGAAATCCATACCACTAAAGATGAACCCCTCTCCACCCATTCAATGACGCTTGATTTTTGTTGTTATTGTTGTTGCGAACAAAAATGTTGCCTTATAAAACCGTTCATAATTATCACCTCTTTTTTATATTGTTAGCTGTGCGTGTGATTTTGCCTCAAAATGAGTAATTAATTATCATTGTCGGTTTCGTCGTCGATGTCGTTTTTGTTGTTGCTGATGAGATTTAACCATAAATGATTAAAAACAATGAGTTTTGCCACAGTTGTAGGTTGGTTGGCCGCTCGCTGCTCACTCACTCACATAAAACGTCAATGACAGTCAAAACAAAAGAAACGCCAAGAAACCCAACCAAACAACAACAACGCAAAAAACTGACAACTAAAAAATGCGGATTTTGCATCGATGGCGTGTGCGCTCACGCGCCTTTTATACAAATCTGACACCGACCGACACAATTACTGCAACTGACTGACATCTACTGTGTAGCAACACAACGATAACAAGAACAAAAGGAAACCCGTTGCAAAGAGATATTGACATCTTAACATTTGCTTGACACAAGAGAAGTCTGTTTATGAATTATAACGGAGAGTGTCGGACATTCGGTCGTCTTGCTGCTCTCATTTCTCTCACCACTGGATCACAGCGACAGTGATTTAGGGTCTGTTTAAATTTGCCAGCCGGGATACATAAAATCTCGGCGCAATTGGCAGGCACTCAAACAGATAGCTAATTGGCAGGATAACTATTAATGCAAATCTTCAACTGTTGTAATCCTTTTTAAAAAGGCTGTACAAATTGGGTTTTTTACAAAGAAAAAACACCCAAACATCATATACAGGGTGAGATAAAAAACTGCAACAGAGACAAACGCCATAATAATTTTAATTTTTATACCCTCCACCATAGTATAGAGTTTGTCATTCCGTTTGTAACACCTCGAAATATACATTTTAGACCCCACAAAGTATATATATATTCTTGATCAGCATAAAATTCTATGTCGATTTAACAATTTCCGTCCGTCTGTCCGTCTGTGAAAATCACTCGAGCTTCCAAACGAAATTAAGTAAGTTTATAAAAATTTACTCAAATTTGTATTATGTCTGCAGGATTTTGATGATTTTAGCGACATTATTTACCGGAATTGTTTCCAATTTGGTATTCGAAGTTCGTTATGGATACTACAGCATAAGACAGAAAATGGGCCACGTCTTCGTATAGTCCCATATAACGGTTCCCCCCGATATTCGGTATTTTGATGATTTTAGCGACATTATTTTCCGGAACTATTTTAAATTTGGTATTTGAAGTTCTTATGGCCTTCAAACGGACAATGAAATCGTCACTCGCTGCCCGAATGTAGTTCTGCGATATTTTGGCCCATTCCCGGCGATGCGCTTGCTTGAGGTGTTCGACACTTTGGTATTTTTTAGTGCCAACCTTGCTTTCCAAAATACTCCAGACACAATAGTCCAACGGATTGGTATCCGGAGATTTTGGTGGTCATTGTGCGCTTGAAATGAAGCGAGGAAACTCATTTTGTAACCATTCTTGGGTGACGCGTGCTGAGTCCTGTTGGAATGACCAAGGTCTGCGGCCAAATGTTTGCGTGCCCAAGGCTTTATTACACCCTCTAGAATATTTTCGCGATAATATTCGGCATTTATTCTGATGCCACGGTCGATTAATACGAGCGGAGGGCACCCATCGGCTGTTATGGCGGCCCACACCATCACCATGGCCGGCGATATGTTCAGCTCACGAGCCATTTTTCGGCCACTGCCATGCGGGTTTCGATCAAGTCGCTTCTTTACTTTTCGAACCATTTCTACTGATGTTGCTGTTTTCTTCCGTCCACTTCTTTGACGTCGGGTTACGCTACCAGTATCACGGTAACGAGCGATGGTACGAGACACGAAGATTTATTCACATTTAAATGAAAGCCACTTGTGGTTTTCCAGTCAAATATATAGAAATCACACTATCACGCTTGAATTCCATCACGAATAACTCTTTTTCTGGAAAATTCTCAACAAAATGCTTTTGGAAATCGCTATCCATGATTAATCTCTGTTTATGACGCACTAATTGCATTGTTTTGTCAAACCAGCTGATTGCTTGCAAGATTTTTGCAGGAATTCCGTCTGTTGGCACAATTTTTTCCAAAAGAGAATAAAACTACCTTACTTTCTCAGAAAGAAGTTGCTGGACAATTATCCAGTAAAATCTCGCAAGGAAACAGCTGTTATGAGCAATGAATGCGTTATATATCATTATTGAGAGAAGAATTTTTTATTGTTGTAAACCAATATTAAATGTCTATAATCTTAAAAATGTATTACCTGAAATTTTAAAATAGTTTTGCATCGGCTACAATGTATCTGTTTTTCAATCAGCTGATGTTACTGGATAAATATTACTGAGTAAATTTGTTGTCAGTAAAATTTTGCAAACTATCTTGGTTTATCGAACAACATTTAGTGATATTTTTCAAAAAATATTACAAAATATTGGTTTAACCTACATATTATTCGAAAAAATTTTAAGAGAAACAACACTTTCTAAAAATGTTATCCGAATCTTTCCCCAATGACTTTTTAGTCAAATTGTTTAAAGTCTACTAAATGTGAACCAAGACCTTTTCCAGCAAATAACGTAATTGAATAATTAGAACATTTCCTTTTCTTTTCGCATGCCAAAGCGAGGGATTTTTCTTGCCAGATGTATCTAGATTGATTAGGGGTACTCTGGCGCACTCCAAGTTTCAACGTTTCTATTTTAACGTAAAGAAAAGAACGTCATATTTCTCCCCATTGTATACACTGTTCCTGTGGCTAGTATGTTAGAGACATCACTCCACTCCACAATCTGTCCAATTTCTCATTATGTTACTGTTGTAAATTGGCAAAATAAGATTTGTGTGTAGGTCATAATGTGTAATAATGCCCCAGCATCAGCGACGGCAAAGGGAGCAACGTACCCGTATGCTGCTTGTTTACTGGTAATGCAGTTATTTTGCTTATAATGTGTAACCGTAAAAGCCAAATGGGGACAAAACCGCTTTTAAACCAGTTCACACACAGTACAAAGATCTTTTAGTCGTGTCTTTTTCACCTCTAAATTCAATGCTGCTGCTACTATTGCTGTTCAACGCTGCCGCTAGACTTTTTCCACGGTTTTCTTTTGGTTCGACAACGGACTAGGCAGCTAAGCTAATAGGAAACCCCATGCTAGAGACATACAGACTGACAGACAAACAATGATTGCGTCGTTTGTTCGCCAGACCTTAGTAGTTGCATTCATCAAGACAGACGGCTGCAATGCCATTGTTTGTTATTGATGCTGGTAATAATCGTAGCGGTGTTGGTGGTAGTAAACGTTATTGTTGTTCAAAATATTACCACCACGTCTCGATGTGAATAAATTATAAAAAATATAAATGTATAATTTAGTAAAATACTTTTATGATTGTTTTTTCTTTGTATAATATCCACTTATTAATGTTCTTTTATGAGAATCTCGCCTAGAAGAGTATATTCATATAGTCCAAATGTAGTCAAATTTGAAAATAATTAAATACAAATTTGAAATTTAGATTCATAACAAATTTTATAAACATAAATTTATGACTATCTTAATAGAATTCGCTATGGTTTGAAATACGTATTGTAAGAAGAGAAATTAAGCCAATTGCACACAAACCCATACTGAGCAAAATCAAGAGCAATTTCCTTTCTTCTCACTTTAGACAATCATGTTTAACAAAACATAGTTCCAAGGAATCTCATCTCGTCCAAGATCCACGCCTATTTTAATGTCCAAAAATAGCATTTATTTTATTTGTTTTGCAAAATTCTAATGAAAAATTATTTGTTTTTTTTTTACCAAATCCATTGCAGACCTTTACAGCATGGTGCAACAGTCATTTGCGCAAGGCCGGCACCGGTATCGAAAATATTGAAGATGATTTCCGTAATGGCTTGAAATTGATGTTGTTGCTGGAAGTTATTTCTGGTGAAACTTTGCCCAAGCCCGATCGTGGTAAAATGCGTTTCCACAAAATTGCCAATGTCAACAAGGCTTTGGACTTCATTGCCTCCAAGGGTGTTCACTTGGTATCGATTGGTGCCGAAGAAATTGTCGATGGCAATTTGAAAATGACTCTCGGTATGATCTGGACCATTATCTTGAGATTTGCCATTCAAGATATCTCCGTTGAAGAGATGACCGCCAAGGAGGGCTTGTTGTTGTGGTGCCAACGCAAAACCGCCCCCTACAAGAATGTCAATGTACAGAACTTCCATCTTTCATTCAAGGTAAGTCAGACAACCAAAGAAGAAACAAAAATTGAAACTATATTTCACTATTTCTTTTGATTCGTTCGTTAAATAGGACGGTTTAGCCTTCTGCGCTTTGATTCATCGCCACAGGCCCGACTTGATTGATTATTCCAAACTCTCCAAAGACAATCCATTGGAAAATCTCAACACTGCCTTCGATGTTGCTGAGAAGTACCTCGATATTCCTAGGATGTTGGATCCTGACGGTAAGTCCTGACCAGTTGTACTTGTTCAGACAGAAGTAGTTTGGCTAAATGTAATACAGATTCTATTTTCCGAATATGGTATTAGATTTAGTTTTTCTTTCACTTTTCTTAGAAGAACACCTTAATTTTAGATATTCTCACTTATTTGTTTTACTTCCATTTGTATCTTTCTTTTGATTTATGACACCATCAATTTTTAATTTAATTTCCACTTGAAAAACAAAACCAAAAACGAAACAACCATTTTCAATTGGTTGTTATTGATGATGATGATGATGGTGGTGGTGGTACAACTGATATTAACGTATAACACCTAACAGATTTGATCAACACTCCCAAGCCGGATGAACGTGCCATCATGACCTATGTGTCTTGCTACTACCATGCCTTCCAAGGAGCTCAACAGGTTGGAAATATGACGCATGTTCCCGAACCCACAAGACAATACACCTACGTCCCGAATTACAATGTGATTAACCTTCACAATCAATACACTTGATACATTATTTCGTTTTTTTGGTTTCTATTACAGTTTGTTTTTTGGAAAAAAATATCAGATTCCTTTAGTAGTATTTAAATAACACCAATAACCTTAAAATGATATGATTTTAAATACCGAATGTTTAAGCGCCACAATTGCCGCCGTAATCTCTAAATGATCTATGCAGATCTAAAGCTCGACTGCCTATATAAATACATGCATACGTATATACCCTAAGTGTATATGTATGTGTCTAACAACTGACCTGTTGTCGGTGTTGTAATTTAAATCGAACTCAACAAAACATTGATGTTGTTGCGATTTGCGATACCAAATTTAGTTCAATAGCAAATGTTCTAAAAGTCTAAACTCGCCATCAATCCGGTAATGCAATGCTAGGGCTAATAATTTGTAGCAGTTGTGAAAGTCTGCTTTTCAGTGATTCTTATCATCTTTTAATAATCTTTTATCTTCTTTCCTTCATATTTCATAAATTTTAATTATTCTCCATTCTTTTATTCAAATAATTTTGGTAAATTTTCTAAAATTATATTCATTCCGTCGCAAAAATCCACTTTAGTTACTTTCGAAAGAATCTAGTTTACAATTGTCAATCGAAACTTAAAACAACTAATACTGTTTTTCAGAAAATACTTTTTTATAAAGGAATTACCATTTCAAAAAAAAAAAACTTAAATGTATCTATTGTTTGGCATCTAGACACATCTTTTCATAAAAGAATCAATTAACTAGGAATATAGATTTTCCTCATAATAAATAGTCTCTGTCTGGCCACTAAATTGAAAAGTGCTGTTAATTATATATTTACCAATACTTTAATGGACCAATTTCCAAAAGACAAATTATAATTAATTTTTTTCATCTGTATATTGTCATATTTTTTCTACAAAACAAAAACATACATACATGTTGGTTAAATTGTATTGCAAACTTTTTAGGTGTAATATAGAATAGGTTTCACACTTATTTGGGAGTTCATATTTGATAGGAGGAGGAGGAGGAGTTTTTTTGCGAATTATATGAACAGTTCTTATATGAAAAGAATTATTTTCACTTCCAGAATCTTTACAAATAGCCGCATGTTCATTATTTCCCAAGGCATCCCAAGAATAAAATTAAATGCGCCGCAATTCATACAGCTAGATGGCGAAAACTCTTTCCATATATACGGCTTGAATTTATTTCTCGTAAAGGTTTTTTCGTGTCATTTGTCTCCGAATACGAGATTTCCCTACAAAATGAATATAAAATCAACATAGGAAAGTAATTTAACTAATGAAGTTTAAAATCCAAGGAGTTTTATAGTTCCATCTCAAATTTCTAATGAATGTTTGCAGTACAGTTTTCTATCATGACTATGTTAGCCAATGAGGGCACATTTTTGTAATGAAATTCCAAATCAAAAACAAAAAACAACACTGAAATTACCAAAAAACATTTTTCTGCTTAAAGTTTATTAACAATATGTATGTTGTTATTGTAACTAGTGTTTGCTGTACTTAGGAATCGATTCAGAAGACACATACCAATCCAACAAAAGCCTTTCTATTGCAAGTCCTTCGATGACAAGTACAGGAACACAGTTCTATTAATTTTCAACTCCACGCTCATTGTCATTACACAAATCCCATTACAACGAAAATCTGTTCTTGAACTTCTATTAACAAAGTCGTTTGCAAGAGAAACTGAGAAAAGATTGCTGCTGCTGCTCCCGCTGTTGTGACTGACAATCTGCCATTGTTGCATGTGCCACCCAATTAACAAATATAATAATATACAAAAGTTAATTAATAATTTCTTATTATTTGTGTAATGTTTTTTATTTTTTCTATATATTTTTGCATGCTTATATTTATTATTGTTGCTGTTTTGTTCATTTATTGACATATTAACACAAATTTCTATATGTCTTGTTTTTGTTGCTTTCTTTTTTCTATTTTTATGCAAATCCTTTAACAGACCTACAGAATACCGCATTGCCAGATGAAAGGGCAGTCATGACATATGTATCGTCATATTATCATTGCTTCAGTGGTGCCCAAAAGGTTAGTTTTAAAAATCAAAACCTCTACATAAGGAGAAGTGGTAAAAATTGATCGAGACTGCAACGAGATATGGAATGCAAAACGGACTTTACGACAAATTGATATTCAAAACCAAGAAATACCCAAAACACAACATCTCGATGAATGTTTTTTAATGATTATAAACAGAAAAAAAGAAAGAAAAACTTCAGAGTAAAAAAATCTTCAAAACTGATAAAAAATATGATATAGAAAAATTCTAGGATGTAAGAACTTGCCATTGATACATTAGGAATTTTTAAGCACTAAAACTCTACGTATAGAATTTATATATCACTTCACTCGAAAAGGACAAGTCAATCACTTTTTTGTCGGAAACGCAATACTTTTATTATATAAAGGCGTTAGTATAAAAATAAAACAGAATCGTGCTTTGCGAACAGTTTTAAATAAAATGAGACAATATATTTTACATGATCAACCCGATGATTCTACTACCTTCATAAAGCCCCCACTAAATAATGACAACCTCAAGGGCGGGAGTACATAGAGAGAATGTAGTAAAAGCTTGTGCAAAATCGTATGTCGCCATTTACTTCTCCTGCCACCGATAATGTTCCATGACATGTTGTTGCCATAACCAAAGTTATTAACGAATTAACTGATAATGTTCCAAATTGTTTTTGATGTTTATTTGTATTGTTGTTGTTTTATTCTTTATTTCTATGTCCTTTTTGGGGCAAACCAATGGATAAGAAATTTCTAATGTTTATATATTTCTTTATCCGTATACAGGCTGAAACGGCTGCCAACCGTATTTGCAAAGTTTTGAAGGTCAACCAAGAGAATGAACGTCTCATGGAAGAGTATGAACGTTTGGCTAGTGATGTAAGTCTAATGGAAAAACAAACTCTAGTGAAACGTCTTAATTCACTTTTTGTTAATAATTGTAGCTTTTGGAATGGATTCGCCGCACCATGCCCTGGTTGAATTCCCGTCAAGCTGACAATTCTTTGGCCGGTGTCCAAAAGAAATTGGAAGAATACCGTACCTACCGCCGCAAGCACAAGCCCCCACGTGTCGAACAAAAGGCTAAGCTCGAAACCAACTTCAACACATTGCAAACGAAATTGCGTCTCTCCAACCGTCCAGCCTACTTGCCCACCGAAGGCAAAACTGTTGCCGACATCTCGAACGCCTGGAAGGGTTTGGAACTCTCCGAAAAGGCCTTTGAAGAATGGCTTTTGGCTGAAACAATGCGTTTGGAACGCTTGGAACATTTGGCCCAAAAGTTCAAGATCAAGGCCGATGCTCACGAAGACTGGACTCGTGGCAAGGAGGAGATGTTGCAGTCTCAAGATTATCGTCAATGCAAATTGAACGAACTGAAGGCATTGAAGAAGAAGCACGAAGCTTTCGAATCCGATTTGGCCGCTCACCAGGATCGTGTTGAGCAAATTGCTGCCATTGCCCAAGAATTGAAGTAAGTATGCCATTCAAGAAAATCCCTAATCTACAATTTAAATAATCCCCTAACTTGTTTATTGTTTCTTTATTAAAACCCAATTAAACATGCCCACGTCTTTGTTGGGATTTGTGGAAACATTAGTGTGAGGTTCGATGTAGTATTCAACATATTAAAACACATATCTCATTCGATACACATGTCTATCCAAATGTTTCAAATTTAGTTTCAATAAATGTACCTATTCAGTACCTATTCAGCCCCATCAATGTATCTATATTATTCCATATGCAATCTGTTGGAATAATTGTAAACATTGAAAATTACAAACAATAGGTTGTAGGTTATGGACACTTTAGACTGCATAAAAACGAGTAACAGCTGCAGTCAGCACGGTTTAGACCATTCAAGAGTTAGAGTCAATGATATAGCACATACATATATAAACAATCAGTCGCAATAGGAAGGCCCAAGAGTTGGCAAAACTATGTTACTCCAAACATCTATAGCATAGTTGTAGAGCGCACACAGGCCTAAAGGACGTTTAGACTTGTAGAGTGGATTTCAAGCGGCTTTTCCATTGCATATAAGTCAAATCAAATACACGGAAATTTTAATTTTGACATTTTTTAAACCACTTGATTTAATAATTCCACTCGGGCTAAGTGCAGAATTGATCCTTTTTTTGTTCAAAAAATGCAATTTGAATCCCAATCTGCAAATGCATTATTTAACATAAGTGCAATTGAAGAAAGCATCACAATGCTTTGCGTTATTCCCAACGAACATGGACAGGCTTAGTAGATAATGAGTGAAATTAGAAAAAAAACTGAATATTGATTAATTAATTCATCCTAATTTCACTTCTAGTTATTGGCATAACAGCTTAGCAAATTTCAGTTGAAACTTAATATCAAACTGTCATTGACGTATTGTCTATATTCACTATTACAATAACGTTTTTAGACAAATTCCCTTATTATCAGACAAATGAATTAAAGAGTTTATATCAAAATTGAGGTTGTGTTTTTATTGAGACTACATTAACAAAGAAAGAATTCAAAACAGCAAAACATTGCAAGAAAGTACTTAAAACGCTTAACACGCTTGTTTTCGGCGTTAATCCAACATGGAGAGTTGTTCTCCATTGAAACTTAAAGCTAGAACTTGTAAAGTAAACTATAAAGATTAGCCCATAGAGACTTAGTGTAAAAATAGTGAATACCAAAACGGGAACGAGAAGAGTTTAATGTCAATCAAAATACAAACACACAATCTCATCTCATTTAAAGAGATTCGAATAAAGAATATTTCATTAAAGATATTTATATTCGCTCTCTCTATCTCTCTTTTCGTTAAGCTCCTTGGAATACCACGACTGCGTCTCTGTCAATGCTCGCTGCCAACGCATCTGCGACCAATGGGACCGTTTGGGTGCGTTGACTCAACGTCGTCGCACTTCTTTGGATGAAGCCGAACGCATCTTGGAGAAAATCGATATTTTGCATCTTGAATTCGCCAAGCGTGCAGCTCCCTTCAACAACTGGTTGGATGGCACACGCGAAGACTTGGTCGATATGTTTATCGTGCACACCATGGAAGAAATCCAAGGTCTTATTCAAGCTCACGATCAATTCAAGGCTACATTGGGTGAAGCCGACAAGGAGTTCAATTTGATTGTCAACTTGGTACGTGAAGTTGAGTCCATTGTCAAGCAATACCAAATTCCCGGTGGCTTGGAAAATCCCTACACCAACATCACCGCCAACGACATGACCCGCAAGTGGAGCGATGTCCGCCAATTGGTGCCACAACGTGACCAAACCTTGGCCAACGAGTTGCGCAAACAACAAAACAACGAAATGTTGCGCAGACAATTCGCCGAAAAGGCCAACATTGTTGGACCTTGGATTGAACGCCAAATGGATGCCGTCACCGCCATCGGTATGGGTCTGCAAGGTTCCTTGGAGGATCAATTGCATCGTCTCAAGGAATACGAACAGGCTGTATATGCCTACAAACCCAATATTGAGGAATTGGAGAAGATTCACCAAGCCGTCCAAGAGTCGATGATCTTCGAAAACCGTTACACCAACTACACAATGGAGACATTGCGCGTTGGCTGGGAACAATTGTTGACCTCAATTAACCGCAACATTAACGAAGTGGAAAACCAAATTCTCACCCGTGACTCCAAGGGCATTAGCCAAGACCAATTGAACGAGTTCCGTTCCAGCTTCAATCACTTCGACAAGAACCGTACCGGTCGCTTGACACCTGAAGAATTCAAATCCTGCCTTGTCTCTTTGGGCTATTCCATTGGCAAGGATCGTCAAGGTGAAATGGACTTCCAACGCATCTTGGCTGTTGTAGATCCCAACTCCACCGGATATGTGCACTTTGATGCCTTCCTCGACTTCATGACACGCGAGAGCACAGACACCGACACTGCCGAACAAGTTATTGATTCGTTCAGAATTTTGGCAGCCGACAAGGTAAGCTGAAAGAGACATCGCCACATATAACAAATTATATTTTACTCAAATGCGTATTATATCTTGTTTTTTTTTTTTTTCTCTAGCCATATATCTTGCCCGATGAATTGCGCCGTGAATTGCCCCCAGATCAAGCTGAATACTGTATCCAACGTATGCCTCCATACAAGGGCCCCAACGCTGTTCCCGGCGCCCTCGACTACATGTCCTTCAGTACAGCTCTGTACGGTGAAACCGATTTGTAAATCATCTGAGCTCATGTGCCACACAAACAATTTTAGTTCTGTAACCAACAACTCGTCTATTTTAAATGATTTTTTTTAAGTAACCAAAATTAGAGTGAGAGATTATCAACCACATAGATCGGCTAAATAAAATCTACAAAAAACAAAACAAAAACACTATTCAAATACGTTTTAAGTTAATCAATCTTAAATAAAATATAAATAAATGTTCTATTTCGTACTAACCCGCCCGCCCGCTCGCCCGCTCGACTATACAGCAACAAGAGAAAGAAGAGATCGAGATTAAAACTAATCCACCATACAACACCACATCAATGCGATTAACAAGAACAATCATGCAAAATACACATAAACACACACGCATACATGCAAAGCTTATAATCCTCACCACAGAATAGCTGAATGTGAAACTGACTCCTTTATATCACAATATACATATCACAGCAAGAAAGGGAGAAATATTGAGAGAGATAATCGGGAAAAAAGAAAGAGAGAGAGAGAGAGCGCAAGCAATCATATTCTTTCACAAGGATTTCATCTTTCGAACGATTGTTTGGTCCTGAAAGCCCTTTATTGGGATTGATATCAAGGAAAACTGAGCAAACGTGTAATCTACCAATGGATTGGCATTGACAGCGGATTAGCTTAAGTCGCTGAAAATAATTATCCTGGCAGAGATTGCATTCAACACCTAAACCAGAACACAACAGAAGGAATCAACACTAAAACAACTTCTATTTTTATGATCACAGTTCATCTGAGATGAATAGATTGTAATGTAACTGAATATAACAAATATATATTTTTTTGATATTTTATTTTAGTTTTTATTTTTTGTTTTATTATTTAATTTTTGTTAATTTAATTATTAATTTATTCTATTTTTATTGTGCGCCTCATCCATAACGTTGATATTTTGATTGATTCGATTTCGTTTCTAATAAAACACAACAAATAAATTATTATTATTATCATTTAAATATGTAAACATTTTTATATAAAAAAAATAAGGCTAAAAAGTAAAGAAAACAAAAACAACACGACAAAAAAGAACGTATAAATTATTGTAATACTATTTTATTATTACTACTGAATACTATACAATTTTACTATTAAAAGGAGAGTAAATTATTTTATTACGAAATAATAATAACAATAAAATATAAAAAAAACAATAACAACAACAGTAATGATCATAACCACCACTACTCAACTCGATGCAACAATCAACAGTGATGCAAATAAATGAATGCCAAACCTATTTTTAAACATACCTAAAACCAAATCGTCCACAATTTAAATTTAGTCAGGAACTTCGCAAAATGATAATCTAGCTGTAATGTGTCGAGATCAATCTGACCCGTACCTTCAGCTCGTAGAACTCAGTCCCCGCTCTTGCTCTTAGCAAAGAAGAAGCTATTCGATTCTACACACATTCTTTCATATTTTTCAGAATTAAGACAATAGAACGACCACTTGTCGCGGAGTGCATTAAATGTCCATTTCATCTCCTATCGCGAAAAGAAAAAAGCAAAATCTGACAAACAGAAAGCAACAAGGTTCGATGTTCATTCGTTTCGCTTTGCTGGCCCATAATTTTTTTGTTTAATGCACAGTTTTTTATAAACTACTAATTTTCTTCACATAAATTGTAACCTTTTAATTTTTCTCTTTGAAAAACCCTCACCTTTTGGCTTTCTCCTTCAATCCTTGCTTTATTGGTTATTGCTGTAGTCTTTTTCTCTAGGGGACTCACAATGAATGATAAATGAACGAAATTTTGTATCCTTTACCTACAAAAAAGCAAACATGTTGTAGTACCAATCTATATTAATGGCTATAAATAAAAAACAAGTTAAAAAGTATATGTCGGTTTTGCCGACAGATATATACTCTCAGCGAATGTACGACTATTTAAAAATATTTTGACTTCTTTTATGATTATTCAAAGGTTTAACCCCGAAGGAATGTGCCAATAAATAAATAATTATTATATAAATATTGCGACGTGCCAGGTTTTGGACTATATTGGTAACTTCCTTTTACATGAGATATATGATAATTTGTAGAAAATGTTAACATGTGCCTGAGGTATCTACCGAAGTATTCCATTTTCATGCTTCATCTAATACATATAAAAATATTGGTATGGGCATTTATGAAAAATCGTAAATTTTATATTCATTCATTTGTGGGGAAGGTACCAGAAGAAATGGTCCGATATCTACCGTTTTTATAAAAGATTCTGTGTTGATAGAAATATTCAGATGTGCCAAGTCCAAACGGAATCGGATATTAATTTCGCGTTTTATGAGCTCAATGGATATTAAAAATTTCGACCTTTTATGGGGGAGGTACCAGAAGGGGTTGACCGATATATTCCATTTTAACACCAGATCTTGAATTTATAAAAATATTGGGATGTGTGACATTTATGACAATCAGATTTTTACATCTCATTTTATAAGAGTTATAATTATTTACCCTTTGTAGGGGAGTCATTTCGACCTTTTGTGGGGGAGGTACCAGAAGAAGTGGACCGATGTATTCCTTCTTTGCACCATTTTGTGTGGCACGGACATTATTTTCTTTGAAAATTTTGACATTTCGTGTGGGAGGTACCAGAAGGAGTGGACCGATATTGTCCATCTCCGAACTCGATCTAACTTAGACATTAAGCCAAAATAAGTTATTAAGAATTAATATACTGGTCAACAATAAAAAACAACAACGATAAAAAAAATATAAAAAACCTAGGTATTCCCTGCTTTACCCCCTGCTAAACATTACCATCGTTCTCCCCTAATAAACAAACGTTGTTAACAAAACAGCAATAATGGGATTAAGCCTGACCAGTTTGCAACAACAAAATACTATGGTATCCCGAACAAGCATGCCAACACTGTTCTAAATAACAAAATATATCAAAATTATTTTGATTCTAATTTTGTTCTGCCAGCAAACCATAGCCGTTTTTTAGTTAACATAATATGCAAAATTTCGATTTTTGTCGAAATTTCCGAGTTATTCACTAAGAATTCTTAACTTTTCCATTCAAAAAGCCATACTGGAACAAATGCACCAAAATTCCATATTAAAAACAAAAAAAAACAACTTTCTTGAACTTTTCTGAAGACTTTCTTCAAATTTTTTCTTTCCTTCCCACTGCAATTACAAACAGCCGAAAGAAAATTTAACTCAAATCGGCCCAAATTGACAACTTCACTAAAAATATGACCAAAATCTTTAAAATTCAAAATATCATGAGATACCATCATTTAGAACTTCACATATCGAATTCCATTGAAAACTGTGGCTACAATCAACAAAACACTGGATATCATCCAGGGTACTATTATACACAAATGTGGTTATATCCATAACTCTGACGGAAATCATTGCAATTCCTAAAATCGGAAAGTACCTTTATATGGTACGCCAAAAGACAGCTCTGCGCAAAATCTCATTACAAGTCGTTTGAACTCTGGCAGACAGACGGATGTGACAAAATCAAGTTCAAATTTCACCATCATCAAGAATATTTACTAAAACTTAATAAATCTATAGTATAGTATTGCCCTAACAGGGAAACTGAAAAATTATACTAAAATTGATTACCCCTGTGGTTAATGTTTAAATATCCATGCAAATTTGGAACTGAAATCCGGCACAAACCTATTGTTTTTCAATTGTGACATCAGAAAATGTAAACTCCCGCATCACATTTTAGAATAAGTTTAGATTTGGTCGAATTGGTTACCTTTGGCACGAATTCGGGCCTTCAAACAGCCAATGAAACCGTCACACGCTGCCGGAATGTTGCTCTGCGATATTTTGACCCATTTCCGGCGGAGCGCTTGCTTGAGATGATCGCCACTTTGGTATTTTGCCAACCTTGCTTTCCAAAAAACTCTTGACAAAATAGTCCAACGGATTGGTATCCGGAGATTTTGGTGGCCATTGTGCGCTGGAAATGAAGCGAGGAACCTCATTTTGTAACCATACTTGGGTGGCTGAGAGCGATGGTGCTGAGTCCTGTTGGAATGTCCAAGGTCTGCGGACAAAATGTTTGCGTGCCCAAGGCTTTATTAATACGCCCTTCAGAATATTTTCGCGATAATATTCGGCATTTATTCTTACGGTCGATTAATACGAACGGATAGCTACCATCACCATGGTCGGCGCTTGAGTTCTGGTGGCCAACCGAAGGTGCACATTTTCAGCTGACCTCTTCGGCAAGTAAACACGATAATTTTGTTTGTTTACAAACTGCTACACAACGAATGTTTTCTCATCGGGGAAAACCAAATTCGGCAGTTCACCCATTCATTCGGCCAAGAGAAGCAACTCTTTATCTCTTTTAAGTCTATTTTCTTTCTGTTGCGGTGTAAGTTCTTGCACTTTTTGGAATTTCAATGGCTTTATCCCGAGCTCATTTCTTAATATTTGCCGAATGGAATATTGCGACATGTTCAGCTCACGAGCCATTTTTCGGCCACTGCGACGCGGATTTCGATCGAGTCGCTTCTTTACTTTTCGAACGGGCTACGCTACCAGTATCACGGTAACGAGTGATGGTACAAGACACAAACGATTTATTCACATTGAAATGCTGGAGTGCTCTAACGATAGCCACCTGATATTTTTCCAGCCAAGTATAAAGAAATCACACTATCACGCTTGAATTCCATCACGAATAACTTTTTTTCTGGAAAATTCTCGCCAAAATGCTTTTGTACCCTTGTAAGCAATATAATGAGCTGTTATAGGAATAATTTTAACAGCTGTCGGGCGAGTGGCTTACTAATGAAAGCAGTCTGAAGTTGGTTGCAGTTTTTTCATCCCACCCTCTATTACTGAGTTTTGTAAGGCGAAAACTTCTTTTAGCAAAAAGGGACAACTTGCAAAGTTGATATGTAGATGACAGTTTAGCAAAGTAAAGTCGTCCAAATGTCCCATAAGTAAATGTTTTTTGAAACCGCCCATTAGGTACATCTACAATTAATATTCGGGATTGTCATTTATGTTCGAAATATTGAAATAAAAAATCCCATTTAATTTACCAAAATAAATAAACCAGAATAAAAAGAGGAAATTCAAATAATTAATTATCAAATTTTTGTATATCCTTATCCGGGTAGGAAATCGTTTCTTGGGTTTAGTTAAATTATTGGAATTGCACACAAGGTCATAAATTCAAATGCTGGAAATATTAAAACTCACACAAAGTCAAGGATAATGATTGACATGACGCTTGATAGGTTGGTGGTCAGACTAAAAACAGGTAAAACAGATAACAAAAAGCAATGCTACCTGGTATTTAGTAGCAGTGATCCCGTAAATTGTCACCACAGGGAATTTCCAAGATATTTATCAATGAAGCCGGTTAATCCTTATGAGTCGATTCAAAGTGGTTTAGGTAGAAAACCCAAACATCAATGAATTTCCCTTGGATATTTCCCACAGTTTTATGAATGAAATAGTTTGTATCCACGTATCCGTATAAAAGGGCGACAAATGTTGAAAACACAAACAGTTTTAATCGTGCAACCGTCCCAACAACATCAGACCGAAATGGCGAATATTAAAGTTTATATTTTCTTGATATTTTTATGTCTTCAAGACAGTGTCGTTCAAGGCAAAGTTATAGATTTCTCTAAAAATTCGAAGTTACAGAAATATTTAGAGGTTCACCGCTGCCGCCAGGAATGTTATGCGAAGGTAAGTGGTAAATTAAACAACTTTATCGAATTTCTATTATTAAAACTGAGTGTCTCTTTTTTACAGACCCTTAATGCCGAAGTGGAGAATTGGGATATTTGTCGTGATGTTCCCGATTGTTATATGTGCTATGACTATTGTGAAATGCTACCGAAATTAGCCATTGACTTGGCTCATTCTATGTGTTCCGACGAAGTATACTGTTCGAAAGGATGTCGCATTGCCTGCAGGAATCATCAGATAATGGGTGTTCATACTCTTGTCTATGAAACTCAACAGCTTTAGATCCTGAAAATTATTTGCATAATTTTGATGTACATATGTATATTTGCAACACTAATTACTCAATTGTATTGTTTTCAACCGATTATTATCTTTATATAGTTACAATTATTTAAATAATTATGTCAAGTATTAATTTATAGCTACAAAACAGTGTTGTTCTTTAATAAAAAAAACTAGAAGAAATAATCAAATGTTTATTACTAGCGCCAAAAAGTATGCTATACTTTAAAAATTGTGTGTATGATTGTGGTCTAAATCATCGACACAAACCGTGCCAATCCGCTACTACAGAGACATCTAAATGCCGGCTTTTTATTCAGTTTTATGTAGTTATCAATAGATGGATGCAACTATGTTATTGTAAGTAATTTACATCACTAGATGGCGCTGAAATTAGATATTTTAAGGGGTTCGCACTGCTTATTATATAATATCCGAAAAAGTTGGTCGATTTTTAAACATATTATAAAATAATTAAATTATTTTTAATTATATGTCTAAGAAAACAGTACTGTCTAATTTTCCCCGAGCTACACATACTCAATTTCCGATGTGCAATATATTACAAGGCTAGGCAAAGAGTATTCTATGGGATATCTGTGTGTTCACCAACACAATTGTAAAACAAAAATAAATTGTTTTGAATTTTTTGTCTAAATGGGTTTTGGGAGAATATTTAGTTTTGTTCGAGCAGTCGATGAGGAAGGTACAGTCAGATATTTTTATGAATACACCGTGAGAAATATTGGAGCACATAAATATATCTTACAACATATTTGAAACAAATATTTCCGAAATCGTAAAACTTTTTTAAGATTTATCTTTTTGATTGAATCCAGTTTGACAGAATTTGTTTAAGAATTCACATGTTAGAAATTGGAATTCATTTAATATTGACCGTCAAATTAATGACCTTCTAAATTGAAAAAATTACACGTTCTTAGTCAATTTTAGGAAAAATAGCAAGATGTGATGTTTATCATTCTGTTTGTAATTCATATAAATAATCTTTTCGGACCCAACACAGGATATGAGTTTTTGATCAGCATAAAATTCGACGACTATTTGAGTATGCCTGTATGTCGGCCCGTAGTAATCGGGTCAACTTAGTTGGTTAGCATGTTATGTCCGAAATTATTAAATGCAAATTTCATCAAATCTATAAAAAATTTTTAAAAATGTCAACTCATATATAATTGATGGACATTTATATAATCTTTTTTTCTTTTAAAATGAATCATGATTGAAGTAATTTTTCAAAAATAACTCCGAATTGTCTGATCAAAATATTAATTTTTACCCACGAAGTTGTTTTGAAAACAGAAAATTTAAAATTGAAGAATTAAAGCTAACAAATTATTTCACTCTGGTTATAGAGAGATAAAAAAAAAACACTTGCAATATTTTTTATTTCAAAACACATACAATCACAAAATAATTTTAAATTTATCTGCCTACCCCTGTATACATAGAACAATAAGAATTTATTAAAAACAAAACAAATTAAAACAAGTAAAAAACTTGTAACTTGAATACCCTCCATCATTTGGAACGAATTTGGCAATTTTCAAAAAATAAAATCCGTTAAAAATTCTTCAAAATCCTAACAAGTAAAAAGCTGTAAGTTCTGCCGCGCCCTCCATACCCTCCATCATTCGGAACAAATTTGGCAATTTTCAAAATAAAAATAAAAAAATAAATAAAATAAAATAAAATCTGTTAAAAATTATGTTAAAATCTTATTACTATATTCAAATGCAAAACTTAAAAAAAATCGGCGAATAATGTAGCTAAAATCATCAAAATACCGAAAATAGGGAGGTGTCAATATATTCCGATGCATAATGTCGCTAAATCATCAAAAAATCGAATATCGGGAGTTACCGTTATATGGGGGCTATATAGAAACGTGGACCTACACACACAATTTTCTGCCCCCATCCATTACGAACTTCAAATACCAAATTTGAAACAATTCCGGTAAATAATGTCGCTAAAATCATCAAAATACCGAAAATAAGGAGGTACCATTATCATTTTTAATACCAAAAGTCCTGCAGACATAATATACATTCGAGTAAAATTTGATCAACCTACCTCATTTCGGAAGCTAGAATGATTTCAACTGACGGACGGACATCGCTAAATCGACATCGAATTTTATGCTGATCAAGAGTATATGTACCTTGTTGGGTCTAAAATGTATATTTTGAGGTGTCACAAACGGAATGACAAACTTAATATATCCTCCCATTATGCATAGCAATTTGAAATATTTCTTTTCGTATTGTAAGTTCGTAATAGGTACTACCACCTATGGCAAAAAATTGCCTGTACAGGTCCTTGTCTTTGTACAGCCCATATAAGACTGAACCAACTTATATTCGGTAGTTTGATGATTTTAGGGATATTTTTCACCGGAAATGTTTCAAATTTCGTATTTGAACTTCGTTATATGTGATATAACTTGTGACAGTAGGTGCGTATGTAAGTCCATGTCTTCATATAGACCTCAATATAAAGGAAACTGCCTATATTCAGTATTTTTATGATTTTAGCAGTAGTTTGCAACGATGTTTTTTTTTTTAAACTTTCAAATTTCTTTCAACTGGTGGAGGATATTCTCAATTCGGTCCGGCTGAACATACTGCTTCTTTATACCCTCCACCATACTATGGAGGGTATATTAACTTTGTCATTCCGTTTGTAACTCCTCGAAATACTCATGTCAGACTTAACAAAGTATATATATTCTTAATCAGCGTCAAATTCTAAGTCTGTGTGTTGTAATCACTTTCGAACGAATTGAGATAGAAGACTAAAATTTTGCACACGTGTTTATTTTTCCATTAGGTAGGTTAAGTTCTTGAATGGGCCATGTAGGTCGACGTTTTCATATAGCACCCATATATAAGTACCTCCCGATATTCGGTATTTTGATGATTTTCGCGATATTGTTCGCCGAAATTGTTTCAACTTTGGTATTTGAAGTTCGAAATGGATACTACAGCCTATGACAGAAAATTATCTGTGCAGGTCCACGTCTTCGTATAGCCCCCATACAACGGTACCTCCCGATATTCGGTATTTTGATGATTTAAGCGACATTATTCATCGGAATTTTTTCAAATTTGGTATTTGAAGTTCGAAATGGATACTGCAGCCTAAGACAGAAAAATGTCTGTGCAGGTCCACGTCTTAGGACCCATATATCAGTACCTCCCTATATTCGGTAGGTGCAATACCCACCGAAATTTTTTGAGATGTGTATGCTGGTCCAGGTCTTCGCACAGCTCCGATATAACGGTACCTCTCTATATACGATATTTTGATGATTTTAGCTACATTATTCATCGTTTATTTCAAGTTTCGAATTTGAATATGGTAATGGCTTATGACAAACAAGGCCTATATAGGTCCACGTCGAATATACCGCAATATAAGGGCTATATTCGGTATTTTTTTAAAATTATAATAGAATTTTTTAAAGACTTTATTTTTTGAAAATTTCCAAATGGTGGAGGGTATTCAAAGCTCGGCCCGGCCGAACTTAGTACTTTTTAACTTGTTACTTGCTATATCTCTTTTCATAACCACATCAATTTTTGTCTGTAGAAATTTTATTTTTTGATAAACCAGTAGAGAAAGTCTTAAAGTCGGGCGGGGCCGACTTTATGATACCCTACACCACTTTGCTAATGTAGTGGGAGAATTCAATCATACACGCTATGATTATAATTATAATTTAAAGTTCAATAGAGTAAATATGCCGAAGCATTTGTATCTTTTAAATTCGGACTTGTATTGCCCATTTGGTGAACAATTAATTTGAAATCGGATAAAGATCTCGATAAAGTTTGGCAAAGATATTTCTGAGCTGTTTTTGGTATATTTTCCCGAATATCGTAGTTACGGAGTGCAAATTACGGCTGTGGGTAAGAAATATAACAAATCGGATGAACAGTAGATATGGGAGCTATAGCTATGTCTGAAACGATATTGTCCAAATTTGACATACTAGCTTCCAGACTCAATTCGGTCGTAAGTGCCAAATTTCATCCCATTTGGACAAATATTAGACGTTTGGTGCACAATTAAATTTAAATCGGACGAAATTATATATATCCAACTCTGAACCGATCTAGATAAAATTTAGCAAATTTATTTCTGAGCTTCATTTGCTATATTTCCCCAAATATTGTTGTTACATTGTGCATATTACGGCTGCGAAGGACAAAAATAACAAATCGGATGAACAATATATATGGGAGCTTTTTTTCAGGCCTAATTTGGTTGTATGTGCAAAATTCCATACTATTCGGGCTGATATTACACATTTAGTGCACAAAGGCAAATCGGATGAAGATATATATGGGAGCTATATCTAAATGTTGACCGATTATCTCCAATTTCAATAGGGTTCGTCCTTGGGCCAAACAAATATTGTTTGGAAAATTTCATCTCAATCGGATAATAAATGCGACCTGCATTTTGTTCACAAGAATACATGGACAGACGGACTGACATGCATAAATCAACTCAGAAAGTGATTCTATGGAGATCCTCAAAAGTAACTATGGGTCTATCACGCTTCCTTCTCCATGTTACAAACAAATGCACAAAGACATAATACCCTTACCACTATGTGGTGTAGGGTATAAAAACAAGTAAAAAAGCAGTAAGTTCGGCCGGGCCGAACTTTGAATATCCTCCACCATGAATTAGGAAATTTTCAAAAAAAAAAAAAAAAATAAAATCCACTAAAAATTTTGTTAAAATCCTAAAAATACCGAATATCGGAAGGTGCCGATATATGGGGGATATACGATATTGAGACTATTCTATTTCAGGGAATAAAGTACTCACACGGAACTCCCTGTGTGCAATTTCAAACAATTCGATTGCAAAAAAATGTAAAATGTAGCTAAAGTCATCGAAATACCGAATATGTTGGGGGGTGAGGTGGGTGTGTGCCGTTATTAGAGGGATATACGATATTGTTGACCTATAAAAATAGTTCTCTTCTAGGGGATAGAGTACTTATAAGGAACTCCTTGTGTGGATTTTCAAACAATTCCGTTGAAAAAATGTGACTAAAATCATCACAATACAGAATATCGGGGGTGCAGTTATATGGGAATATACAATATCGTGGACATATGTAGACAATTCTCTGTCAGGGG